CGAACCAACTGCTAACACCCCACCAAGGCGGCATCTCAAACTTCTTCTCCCAACTCATCGTCGGCTTCGGCTACACGCCTGAAGAATCCCTCCTCTACGGCACCCCAGGCGGCGCGGTCGAAGTCGTCTTTCTCATCGCATGTGGCTGGGCAGGCGACAAATACGGCTACCGCCTCCTCATATCCATGATCGGCCTTACCACTGCTATGATCGGCATGATCCTCATCGTCGCACTGCCTCTGAACAACAACTCCGGTCGTCTCGCTGGCTATTACCTCACCCAAGCCAGCCCTACCCCGTTTGTCGCTTTGCTCAGTCTCATCTCGAGTAATGTAGCAGGCTATACGAAGAAGACAACTGTGGCGGCTATGTATCTTATTGGGTACTGTGCTGGAAATATTATCGGTACGTACTACCTCTATGCTTGAGACGAGTCCGGCTAATATGATGCATGAATATAGGCCCTCAAACTTTCCGCCAGCAAGACGCGCCCCGCTATGTTTCCGCCGAGATAACGATCATCGTCTGTTATGGTGTTTGCTTGGGTATCATAGCGTTCATTCACTTCTACTGCGTCAGGCAGAATAAGAAGAAGGCGCTGGTTCGTGCTGACCCTGGATATGTGAAGCTTGAGAACCAAGAGTAAGTTTTAACACCTCGAATTTTTGAGATGCGCAAGTGCTGACCGTTGGTGCAGATGGCTTGACCTGACAGATAGAGAGAACCCAGAGTTCATCTACACATTGTAGATAGTGATTTACAACACATGGGACGAGTGCAAAACGAAACGAGACCGTCGTAGATGATAGAATTACCCAACGCGATGATAGCGTGGATGGATTTGCAATGTTCCATGCCTCAAGTGTAGCAAATCAACTGACTCAAAAAATATCCGACAATGCCAGCTCGTCATGTTGCAACACGACACCTCACGGCTGCTGTGCAGGCTTCACCTTGACCATCATAGGCCCTTTATCCCAAAGCGCAAAAACCTTCTGGTCCATCCAATCCCTCTCTTTATCCACAAGCTCCAGATCATAAGCGAAAAGCACCTTGGTGAGAATGAGGCGCGTTTCCGCATGTGCAAGACTAGAGACGGTGATGTCAGCCCGACGTCCTTAGAGACAAGAAGTAGGAAGGAGAGAGAGGGTGCAACATACGTCTTCCCAATACAATTCCTCGGCCCAAAGCTAAACGGCTGATGGCTCGCCCTCTTATCATCCGTGTACCGCTCATCCCCCAACCACCTCTCCGGCACAAAAGCATCCGGATCCCTCCAGTTACGCTCAGAATGACCCATGGCGTGCATGGAAACATATACCGACGCCCCGCCAGGGACATAGTAGCCCGACACCCGATCACCGCCCGCCGGTACCACACGAGCAAGCCCTGTAGCAGCAGGCGGATAGTACCTGAGCGCTTCCTGGAAGACGGCGATGAGGTAATCCAGCTTATTCACTTCGTCAACGGTGATCTGATCCGCAGAGGAGAAGCGCGACCGGATTTCCGTAACGAGTTTCCTGTACGGCTGTGGATTGCGGAGGAGGAGGTACGTCGCACCCGCCAGAGCCGTGGCGCTCGTTTCGCTGCCTGCGATAAGGAACGAAACAGCATTACTATCCATTTCCGCGCGGGTGAGTCGGGTACTTTCTTTCTCTTGGTTCTTGATTATGTGCGTGAAGAAATCGGGACGGGTGTCTTCGCCGCTTTGGATCTTCTCCAGGCGCTTGCTGACCATGTCGTGGGCGCGTTTCGCGAATTCGTAGCGGGCGCGCATGGGGCCCGTGTTGTCGGTGAAGAGGCTTCGCACGAAATCGAGATAGCGGAATGTGAAGTGCTTGCCTCGCGAGACGTGGAGGGCGATGGCTTGCAGGCTGCGGAGGGTGATGGAGATCCAGAGGTGTTCTTTGGAGTCGCGGAGGCAGTAGAGGGGTTCGCCGAATGTGAGGTCGGATATGATGTCAAAGGTCGTGAAGTCTATCGTATATGGTTAGTCTGAGTTCTGAAGGAGAAGGCGCTGCGTGTAATACGCACTGTACCAAGTCCTGATATCGATATCGGTGTCTTCGGCAGCGTGTTCGCCCAGACGTTGTACCAGAAGATCGACATAAGACTGTATGAGACTTTCCTGTCCTCGTAGAGCCTTGTCGCTGAAAGCGTGCGATAAGCTACGTCGCATCCGCGGATGCCCCTCTTCGTCTGCGATGAGAAGTGACAAGACGCCATTGACAGGCCGGGGGCTATCTTGTCATCAGCATCTTCTCGCTCATAGCTTCAAATGGAATTAACCTACAACCACTTCAGGTCCTTGACAAAGTTTCTGCTTCTATCCGTTTTGTGGCCGTAGATATCCTGCCACGCAGTCTCTCCCGAGATGAAACTGACTTCATTCGGTTCTAGACGCACTGCATCACCGTATTTTTCGTGGCATTCTTTGATCCATTTGACCACACTACCATCGCGTATGTGTAGCGCGAAACATAGACCAGTGGCGCGTGCGAAGAGGGGACCAGGGATGTGCCTGAGAGGATGGAAAAAGATGTTGTATACTACTGTGCAGGTACCGTAGATAATGGCCTATTCGGAGTCAGTGAAGCTTTATAGGTGAGTCGCATCAATGTGGTAGTCAGGGGGTTGGGTAGTCTCCTCATGTCACGATCGTGAGACGGATGTCAGATGCCAGGGCAAGGGTGACGGCAACCTCAGGAACGTGAGGTGTTGACTCACTGACGCCAAAATCACTTCGAACGCATTGAAAATACCCTTCAAGCTAAACAGCGTAAATCCAGTCGTTGAGATACTCGTCAAAATCGTCATGTTTGGACTTGGGCGATACTGTCTTGAATGAAGATACTCCCCGCGTTATGTATCTGGTAGGCGGGGTTTGACTTGAAGATCTCATGGAGCAACGCATCATCTGCCGGGTTAATCATAAAGACCGTAGAACGACCGCCTAATACCCTTGGGCTAGTTATCAACAAAGTTCACGACATGGTTTTGTTCATCGAACGTCCGTGCGCGAGAGTCGTTGATCCTCAGGCTGGTGCTGGCATAAGCAGGCTAGCGCGAATCGATATCTGATCATCACCTTTAAACTCGATGCACCCCTCTAACAGCTCCTAAGAATCGGCCAGACTGTAATTTACACCCCGCCTGCCCCACCTCTTCGGCCCATACGCCTTATACCCCGAACGTCGTTCTTGTATCGTTCCCGTCGCGGTGCGTGGGATGCCCACCGTGCTAGTAACCCCGATGCAAGACAATTGTATTGGGGGTTCGATGTGCATGTTGTGACATGTGATGCTGACCGATGAGCGATATACATCAATCCGGGGGTCTAGATGAAACGTCCACGGCCAAGAATGCAGGCTTCGAATGTACCCCGCTCCCAACAGCGGTCTTATGGGGGTATATAGTCGAATAGGATAGATCCGCTGCCAATCGAAGCTGTTGTTGAGCTGGGTACGAGCAGCAATCAAGATTCGGCATGTCGGAACACTGCTCGAAGCGCATGTTCGATCGCTCTTGTATGCTTATCGCCATGAGTGGACGCGTAATCGGATCAAACTCCAGTCTGCACAAGTCCTTCGAGGTGACGTCGGCAGGTACTACTCAGTGAGGAAACTTGGAAGCGATAGCATTCGGTACTTGGTGCTACTTGGCAGCGAGAACCTATCGCACGAGCGGTTAGCAGTACGAAAGAAGCGTGCCATGTTGATAGGGCCTCGATAAGCATCGTCTCTTCATTATCCTGCCTAGAAGTACTGCATACGGATGCACCGAGTGTGTCGCCGCAAGCGTCAATCATCGTTGCTGTATCGAGATGTAGACCTCCAAACACCTGTCAGTATCATCTTTCCATCATCCTCGCGACGGCCGATGCGGACAAGGCGATATCGACCGCGCATGCCCAAAGGAAAAGGTATCGTAGAAAAGAAATGTCCGTTCGCACACAGATCGCGTATCGCCTTGTAACTACCTCGTAGGTCTTCGCGCAGCTGGGGATCCCCTATCATGTAGTCAGCAATGATGCCCTATAATCCTTCATGACGACCTACCCTTCATGCGCAGTATTCCATGTCTTGACGAAGGCACGTTGCGTCTTGTCCGCATAGTCTTCTGCATTGACTTCCTTGACTCCAACCTTAGCGCCATCTTTGGTGAAGACGACGTTCTTCTTCTCCATCTTCTTGACGCCGCGCTCGGCGAGCTCGTTGGAGTAGAGGAAGATCTGTGAGGCGCATAGCTTAGCATGCCGTGCGCGCGCATTGTCGGAGAGATGAATTACCTGATAGCCGACCCATCCTACGCCTCCGACCACCGCGAAGAGAACGAAGAGCGGGATGAGGTTCAATGCGCCCATGGTTGTGGTGATGATGACGTAGCGAGGCTGGTGTTGCGCTGAGGGTCGTGTGGCGGGGTAACCTTGCGCGAGGCGAGTGCGTCTGTGAATGAGGCTGATGAGGGAGGAATACAGATAGACTTCAGGGAAGGAAACTTTCAAGCTCCTGCAAATTGTTGAAGGGCTAGGGGCCCACAGTCGCTATAGATGCCGTGGCTGTGGCTGAGCAGATGAAACCCCGAACACGAATTGAAGGGTCAGCCTTGGCACGGAAACGGGCCGCTGATCGCCACGGATGATGCCTCGATCAAAAGTCCGGACATGTGAGCGGCCAGGAAGAACTTTTTTGATTCTGGCATGATGGGTGCTGGTGATGTTTTGTTATCACGAGGGTTTCGCTTAGGACGCCTGACGATTGACATGTTGCATGTCCCCACTGATCATCCGCGTCGAACGCGTGGGTCACATGAACACTTACTAGATACGGATGACGATCCATGGAACAGACATTCGGCTTATATTAGACCCTCCGCGAAGTCCCATTTACTGTTATCTAAAAACCTAGGTATAATACAGGTGCGATGCTGTTCACCACGAATTGGAATGTTTTCTTTCCTCCACATATTCTTACAGATCCCTTGCCCCACCCTGGCCTGCGTCAAGGGAACATGGGGCCACATGTCAGAACATGTCTTCTCGCTAATACCAGCACCTGAGCACTACTCAGCCCAAACTTTGTGCCAATGATGGACAGTCGACCCAACAGCCAGTCGCGTTGCTCTTGTGGTACGGTCTCGGCGTTTGCTGCGACGTATAGTGGCCATACCAGCGAGTATCCGCCGAATGCCTCCGCAGCTGCAAAAGAGTTAGCGCCATGCTTCACATCATGTTAGCAGGACTTCGACATACCATTTTGCTCTTGACCCATTTCCTTCGCCACAGGTTGCAACTCGTAGTTCATGTGAAATGGCACACATGCACTGATCTCGTCCACCATCATCTGGATGACAAACACGCTCCTACTCCACGTCTCATCGCCATCTGCATAGTTGCCAACGATGCTGAGCCATGTCACACATGCCATGATGACTCTTCGACAGAATATCCGACAAACGCGGTAGTCGTTCATTATACTCGCCAATGACACGTCATGATATACGTGTTGCTCGCCTGGCCATCTTTCAGCCAGCGCGATCTCCTCGGGTGCGATTGAATCGCTGGAGACGCCGATGATCCGATGTTTCCACTCTGGAGGCAGGGTGCGATACCACTCTTCGAGGTTTCCGTCGACCATTTGCGCAAGGTCGAGGATTTGCTTCGCTTCTGATTCGTAGGCGGGATCATAGGGTGTGGTAGTGAGGATGTTCGCACGAGCGCGGAGGTTTGGGAGATCAATACAGATGAGTGTCAGCCGATTGGCAGCATTCTCTTCGGAGATGTCGCCGTTGCCGACCCAGCCTCCGGTACCGGGAAAAGAGTCGATGGGTTTTGAGCGTTGAACGCAGCTTGTGATCTGTCCTTCGTTAGATTATGGCATGCAAACGATTTGTTATTGGTACTTACCATCATCGTTCGCACGGCGCGGAACATTGCATGTGACATTGGATCGTTGAACTGTTCGATTCCTCTTAGTTTCGTTAATGCCACAGCACCGTCGACATGGTTTCCCCATGCCGTGATAGTGTCGTCTGTACTCATTATGGTCTGATGTTCGTTAGCTCAACATGTGCATCTGGGGGTAGACAATCAGGCTATTGGAGGCCCGCAAGAGATATCTCGTCCACTTACTTCATATAATGAAAACACGAGAACAGCCAGTACCGTCTCATCGCTCTTCGCCATCGCAGGATCTTTCAGATCTTCGTTCAATTTCTTGATAGCCTTGCCGTAGGTGGTCACCGCTTCACGGAGGAGCTGTTGTCGGCCAGGATACTGACCGCATGTTGCCATCGCAACAGCAGTAGTAGCCAAATGGAGGACCGAAGATGGGCGGGCACGATTGTAGAGTGGCACCAAATATTCTAGGTATCCTCGTGTGCTTTCGGCCTGTTGTGGCAAGGTGATGAAGTTCTTGAAGAAGAACGGTACGGCTTCGCATTCTGGCGCGAGTGTTATGGTTGGCGGTACTGCGTTTTCCAGATTCCACACGAACGCTTCGAAGTCGAAAGACTGGTCTAGAGACAGTGGTGGTGTTGTATAGTTGGACAGAGCAAGTATTTGCTGTGATGGGCTTAAGTCTGAGGGTATTCTTGATCGTGAGGTGATTATTTGAAAGGCTTTCTCCCCCGGTACTGCATTCTCCCCCGGTGGTACATCGAACGTCGAAGAAGGTGACCTATTTGTGTTAGCGCGTACAAATTGCAATGTGGGTCTTCGGCTTGCGACAATCACATGTGAACACTTTCAGAACGCATACCGCCTACGAGGGTACCCATTTGCTCGGCAAAGCTTATCGGTATCCCCTGTGCACAAAGCGGATCGACATGGGCAGAATGGTGTAGTACATACAGATGCGGCGAAGTGCTGGAGCTTGACGCACCGTTGCTATTGCTCGACGCGGTCGTTCCGGAAGACTTCCTCGCCTTCTTGGCCATAGCTTTGTTCTCATCTCGAAAGACAAGGTCGAAATCATCAGGATAGCCGGGACATACTCGGGCGGACTTTTTGCAGTTGCCACATGTTGGTCGTTTCTCGTCGCACTATGCACAGTCAGTCGGCGAGCCAAAACGCGGCCTCAGGCAAGCGCATCCGAATACGCTCGGAGGCGATATCGCTAGTCAAGAGAATAGAGTAATTGTCGCGAGGTAATACATACCTTTATTCGGCGGCTTTTACACATCCCACACCCCCGGCTCGGCTTTCCGGTGTAGACCATCGTGATACGGTATTCTAAGGAATGGAAGAATAGAAGAAGGCGACAGGGACAAGACTCAGGCACCAAAGACAACACTTGCCTTCCAGATTCGGGCCTTCGGTTCTGACTTTAAAGATGCCGTAGGTAAACAACGATATTCCTAATCGGATTTCAGGCAACTCCGCCTCTGAAGCCTACGACTACGATCAAGCCTATATTACCAAACGATCCAAGCGACAAGCTTCAGCTCGCCTATATCTGACAAGCTCTGTAGATGAGCGCAAGGCCGACTCCCATGCACCGAGGTACGCGACGATAAGCTCAGGAAATTGACGTCGACGTAGGTTGGACAAGGCGTTCGGCCGGCAGTGCGAAGACTCGCTAGGGAAAGAATTCGCGATCGGACCACACAGCGTGTAAGCAGCGTGTATGACTGGACCTATCAGAAGCGGAAGAGGGCGATGACAGGGCTGCAAACTTCATTCTGAAACCGGACGAGGGATGGCATGGCAGTCCGAGTCGATTGGTCTGCCGCACCGAGATGTCCACCGCAGGAAGCAGCCGTTGTTGTGGTTGATTTTTCTCGCAAGCACCACCAGATTGGGCTTAGCGCTGCGCCCAAAACAGTGGCGCAGCATGCTGTCGTCCCCTTTCTGATATCACCAGGAACGCGACAAGACGTGACAAACACAACTTGAGGCGTTTCCAAACGTTGCTGCCTGGTGTCTTCTCTGCAGGTACCTCAGGCACTGACGCAACCGCTTACGTATGTCGCGTTTTGCGCTTCTTTGGGATCATATACGCACTATGGGAATCGCCGGCTCGTCCGAATTCGCCGTTTAAGCCGACTGTCAGCGATTGCGCCATTGGCGCGACGTGTCCTCTGCCTCAGACCGCGATGAGAGATGAATTTCGATGACGGGATGATGCAAAGAGACCGATGAGCGATGAAGGACGAGAATGCATAGCCAGGTCGAAGTACGCCTCCAGATCTTGCGTATTAGAGGGGGTGTCAAGCGATTATCTTGAACACCTGTCGCAAACACGCACAGCGAAGCAGAAGTCATCTTGGCTGGCAGGCGTTGGTAGGACGATAGTCTGCGAGAGCGCATACAGAACGTGCAAGAAGGTTGTTCATTCGACGTACGCCAAGCCAATAAAACCTGGTCAATAACGTGGCCTCGTTGCTCTGTCAAAGTCCAACCACCCACACGAAATTCGGCTCAGCAACAGTCACCATTATCATACAGCATGCTTCAGGAAAGAAATATAATAGAATGTAACAGGTCCATAGAGGCTGAAAGCCTAAGAAAAAGAGATGGAGAACGGAAGGTCCGGACGCAAAGGTTTTGATGGTCTTCGTCCCGTTCCGGAGTCCATCGAACTATCAGCAAGAATGCGCTACTACCAGTGTTGCGGCACTCTAACAGATTTGGGCCAAGAATAGGTATCACCGGTAAAGCGGAACCGGAGTGAACGCGTTAGGTGACCATAATGCGCGCTTGCGCACTTCTCGAGGCCCGCATCCTCCTGCTTCGTGGGCCAGCCACGCCCCGACCCGGAATCTGGTATATTGACAGAAGGCATGATATTACGACCGCTTGCCCAAAACGCCTACTATCGACCGGGATATCCCATCTCAACTGGAGACTTAGGCTCTTGAGAGGGTAGCTCGTGAGGTTGATAATGACCCTGGAGCTCAGAGATGTGATATTCGTATTCTTGAGGGTGTTGATATGTTTCCATCGGTTTGGGTTCGCTTTCGGCCACCGGAACGGAGGCGTCAGGCGTCTTTGCTCGCTTTCCATGTCTTCGGCGAAGCAACAACATGGCAAAGATGAGCGCCGCAGTACCGATCACCCCGAGTGTAACACCCAAGCCAATGCCGATCTTCTCGCCTGTTGACATTCCGCCGTCTCTGGCAGGGCCGTTCGAACCGGAAGCAGTTGGTGACGGGCCGGTTGTCGACATAGCTGGCGATGCGGATGTGAAGGACGAGCCTGAGAAGCTTATAGAGCCACCGGAAGGGCTTGGTGTAGAGGTCGGAGGTGCACGAGCGACGTTGAAGCCCACTACTGCGATAGCTCCGACACTCGAATCTCGGGCTGCCGTCGTTGTCTCAATAGTCCAGTCATTAGACGAGCCATAAGGTGTAGATGCATACGTCAAGACCATACCTTGGGGACGGTGGAGACGCAATCACCGTTGACGGGGCCGCTTGTGTGGAATGGGTTGGTGTAGCCTCTATGAGCTGGTAAGTTCAACGCCGAAAGGGTGTGCATGGCTAACTTACGAGGGACAGCACATTATCTGGGTTGTGGAGGTATCCGTAACGTAGGTCATGACGGTCGTCCACAGATTCGGGCATATTAGGGGCTGAATGCTCAGCGCTGTATGCTCCTCACCGCCGACACCCAGTCGTGCCTGTTCCCACCACGTTGTCACCGCGGAAGGTACGCAGTCGACATCCTCATCGATGTCGAGACCATAGCCTGGATCAAACGCTACCAGACTGGGTCCATTGAGCCGGAAGATGGATTCGCAGCCAGACGATGGCGTGAAGGTACTTGTGAGCGGAATCCATGAGGTTACTTCACCAGCGTGAGTCACCGGCGTAGCTGGCATCAAAGAGAGATCTGCCATCGTACAGTAACCTCCAGGGTTGGATTATCTGAGCTGTATGGGTCAAAAGGCTGGTTTCGTCTACGAGACGATGGGTATCACTGACGGAGTCTCACTTCATGGTACCAGGGCAGGGGATCAGGCGCGTCCCCTAAGCGCGTTCATACGCCTGCGCCGCATGGAAATGGGATGTCACTTGTATTGGTTCGCGAACGCTTTGATCATCGATTCGCCTTATGATTAGCCTGCTGCAATCATCATTTGAGATATGCAGTACGCACGGTTTCAATTCCCGGCGCTAACGTGAGAGTGTGGCGTGGTTGAAATCCTTCTGTCGCACCGAAGGGGGATGTCAACAATGACTACCTGTGGAAACTCGATTCTACTTCCTCACTACTCATCAAACTTAGACTTCTTATAGTATGTCGCGTTCTTCCGTGCGCAATCGCAAACGCGAGGCGAGCCATGCTCGAAAGGCTAATGGCCATACGACATCCTCGCCAATTTCATCCCCCTGGTCGGTTTCCAAAACACCATACCTCACAGCTGCGATTGTCCTCGGAGCCTCTGTCTGCCTTTGGCTTTCAACACAACCCATCCCTTCGACTCTTACTCGGAAGTGGCTGCCCACCCCGCCTAGCGAGTGGGATAATCGACGGCAGCAAGTCAAAGATGCTTTTGTCAGTAGCTGGGACGCGTATTCCAAATACGCCTGGGGTTTGTGAGCCCTTTCCCCCCGTAGGAATCTGATGCTTATACATTATGCAGGCTATGATCAATTTCACCCCATCGCCAAGAAAGGTTCAATGATGAGTCCGAAAGGCTTGGGTTGGATCATCGTTGATAGTCTCGACACGATGATGATCATGAATCTTACATCGCAACTAGCTGATGCAAGGATCTGGCTGCACCGCAGTCTAGATTACGAGCAAGATCAAGATGTCAATACGTTTGAGACCACAATTCGTATGTTGGGCGGTCTCCTCTCTGCGCACTATCTCACGACAGTGCTGCCCGGTGTCTCTTCGCGAAGAGACAGCATCTATCTCACCAAGGCTGTGGATCTAGCCGACAGACTTCTCGGCGCATACGATTCGCCGTCCGGTATACCATACGCAAGCATCCACTTGGCAAGCCGAAGAGGGCTTGTATCACACGCCGATGGCGGGGCTTCATCGACGGCCGAAGCGACAACACTGCAGATCGAGATGAAGTACCTATCGAACGTCACTGGCAACGAAATATACTGGCGAAAAGCGGAAAAGGTTATGGAGGTTGTCGACAGGGTCAACGTGCACGATGGTCTGGTTCCGATCTTTATCACGCCCCATTCCGGTCAATTCACAACACGAGAGATACGTCTTGGAAGTCGAGGCGACTCATACTATGGTAAGCTATCTAATGCATGCAGTCGTTGATTCCATGCTAATTGTCGCAGAGTATCTCATCAAGCAGTACCTACAGACTTCCGAGCCGATCTACCTCGAGATGTGGGAGGAGGCTTTGACAGGCATCCAGAAACATCTCATCATCCCTACCAAGCATGCAAAGCTCAGCATCGTCGCTGAATTACCCAGCGGGATTGGCGGCTCTCTGTCTCCAAAGATGGATCATCTCGTTTGCTTCCTTCCCGGTACCATCGCACTCGGAGCAACAAACGGACTCACCGAGGCTGAAGCCCGCCGCCTACCCAGCTGGAACACCGAGAAGTCGCAACAAATGGAATTGGCAAGGGCGCTTACAAAGACCTGCTGGGGCATGTACAAAGTGACCGACACTGGTATAGCACCGGAAATCGTCTGGTTCCGCGCGAGCGACGAGTCGTTGCAGTCCAGGAAGAATATGCCGCGCGAGCCCTTGGCGAGCAGTTCAAACTCTGAAGAGGTTTGGAAGAAAGACTTCAACATCAAACCCCTTGATGCGCATAATCTCCAGCGGCCGGAGACTGTCGAAAGTCTGTTTATGATGTGGCGCATTACGAAAGATCCCATTTACCGAGAGTGGGGTTGGGAAATCTTCCAAGCCTTCTTGGACTACTCCACGGTTCCGTTGGGAGAGGGCTTCACTTCTCTCAACAATGTGAATGCCATCCCGCCTCCGCGACGAGACAACATGGAG